GGGAAAAGAGGAAGAAGAAAAGGAAAAAATGAAGGATAAGAAGGAAAAAGAAGGAAAAGAGAAAAATAAAACAAATGGAGTGAAAGAGAGTAAGAGAAAAAAGCAAAAAATAGAAAGTGAAATAAAGTAAGAAGATTAAGAAATAAATAAAAAGAAGAAAATGGAGAAAATAAAGAAAATAAGAGAAAGAATGGAAAGAAGGAAAAGTAGGAAAAGAGGAAAAAGAAAAGAAATAGAAAAGAAGGAAAAGAAGTAAAAAGAAGGTAAAGAAATACAAAAAGGCTAAGAAGAGAGAAAAAATAATAAAAGGAGAAAATAAAGGATAAAAAGGGAAAAGGGGGAAGAAGGAAAATAAGGAAAAGAATGAAACTAAGGAAAAGAGGAAAAAGAAGAAAATGAAGGTAAATAGAAAAAATAAAACAAATGAAGAGAGAAAGAGTAAGAGAAAAAAAACAAAAAAGAGAAGGGGAAATAAAGGAAGTAAGGGACAGAATTAGAGGAAAAGAAGAAAAAGAAAAAGAAAAAAAGAAAAATAATGTAAAGATGAAAAAGAAGGAAAAGGGTAAAAAGAAAAAAAAGGAAGATGAGAGAAAGAAAGTAAAGAAATATAAGAAGACTAAGAAGATAAAAAATAAAAATAAAAAAAAGAATAAAATGAAGGATAAGAAGGGGAAAAGGGGGGGAAATGAAAATGAGGAAATAATCAATCGAAGAAAAAGAAAGAAAAGAGAAAAAAGAAAACGAATGAAGAGAGAAAGAGAGTGAGAAAAAGAAAGATGTAAACCGTGACAGTGACAGTCACGGTTCGACTCCCGCTGAGGGTGTTGATAAGACCAATGCGAGGTCGTAACTGCAGTCCACTGGTGCCTGGATGAGAACAACTTTTGGGAAAGCGAGGCTATGTGAAATTCAATGGAAACGTCAGCTCAACTCTTCTCATTGTAGGAAAATTCTACTACCAGTCCTTCATCAAATTAAACGAAATAGGGTGAATACATCACATACTACTGATTTACTGGTAGTCTTGAAAGTCTACTTACATACGAAAAATAACTATATTTTTGCCCTATTTTGTGAAGCGTGGATACCTGATCTGATGATGTCTGTCAAAGTACAGACGACAGCTTAGCACAGTTCCATCGGGGTGGCAGGACGACGATCCAAGGACTTGTTGGCGCGATACAATAAATAGCCTTCCCTTTGCGGCAATTATGCTTCACTTTCCGACGAGACCACATCACAAATTTGCTCCAACCAACTTTTCCCTCGAAATGGAAAGTCATGTGACAATATAGCACTGAGGAATTCTTCAAAATCCAGTTTTTATTCACATCTTTGTATATAGGTTTGTTTGTATGTATGCGTACACGTATAGATGTATATCTCAATTTTTACCTGTCTGGTATATACATTTGCAGATGAGAAAAATGCCTTCGAGGCCAGTCAAGCGCAGATCTCCGCACTTCAGCTGACCTGTGGGATTGCGGGAGTTTTGAGGACATATTGCTCTGGACAATAAATGACGACTGTAATCATAGATTGAGACTAGGATTTTGTTATGTGATATGAGATTTTTCCGATACTATGCCACAGTTGGGATTCATTTCTAGAAGATGTTAAAAAAACCCTCTGAATTCCACGTTGTGCGGCTTCCACGAAGCCATTTTTATCATTAATCCGACTTTAAAAGGTTTACAAAACAACCAAGAACTCTCTCTTTTCTGGGCACCGTTTTGTATGACGTAAATGTTGACTGTCTGTGAAATGGCAGAGTCACAAGTGTTCTGGCTCAATGGATAAATAATGGTCATTAATATCTACTATAATGATAATAAGTAGTCATAATTGCAAATCATATCCATGCCTAACTATGCACGAGGCTTTGTTGGGAAATGCCAACTCAGTGGCACTCTTTCTGATGGTAGATGCGCGCCATTGGCTGGCCGGTCTGCCATACGAGAGAATTGGAAACTCCCAGAAAATAACATTTCCGGTGCTATTAGGGCTGACTTGCAGTTGAATTTTCCCACAATCATATGAGCATATCTTACACATCCATAGCATTTCACATGGCCTTGCTTCGCAAGAGGTGTTTCCACAAAATAGGCCCCACAAAGAGGAGCAAACTATGACTCAATTGGTCCTTTTAGGGCATTGACAGTTGGCCGATCCCGATTGGTTCCTTGTTTATATGAAGAAAGGTAGGGTTTCGAGGAATCTCTTGTTTCATAATTGTTCAGCTTACTTCCATTTCGAGTGAAGGTGTTGGGTAAAGAGATTCGAAGGTCATTTCCACCAGAAGGATTGGCTTTACCGGAAGATTCATGCTGACGCTGTTTCCGAGGCAATCTGCTTCGATTCCGGTGAAAAGGTGCTAAGCTTTCATGTGTCATATGACGGACATCGTCAGAGCCAAGCAAAAGGTACAGATCATGCGTGAAGCTGACATGAAACGGGCTTCGAAGCAGGAGAAAGGTACATTTGCCGCGAGACTCAAACTGCTTTCGGACCGAATGCTCGCCAGGCGTGAGGAGCTGCAATTGTGGAAATTGACCGGCACTCAGAAAACGTCCTGGCGGGCAAAAGTGGTATTTTTGAGATAACATTTGGCCTCAAGCCAGAGTGATGGGGTGATTCCGAGGCAGAGGGTAAGGCGCAATGCATGTGACTATTGACTTGCACAAAAATCCAACCAAATGACGCTCTGACATTTGCAATCCTCATTATCTACTTCACAATTTCCATCTTCTCCTTTTTCAGGCGGCCATTTGTCCTGCTGGTCTGCTATTCACAAAACCTTCACTTTACGTTCATTCAAGCAGCTCATCTTTCCTAAACTCACTTCCTACGCATTTGGCAGTCCTATTCATGCAGCGAAATGGTTCGTCAATTTGTTTTGGGCTATTTGCATGCTGCAGCCATACTCTCAGGACAGCCAAGCATCCCTCCTCGTTTCAAATGTGTAGCGATTATGTAGCAGTGGATGATCAGTGCCTCAGTGAACGACTCACAAAGTAACTGGCTGCCGAAGTCAAGTAATTAATTATCTCCCTTCTGGGGGCTGATAAGAGCGGGTGGGGAATTTATTTTTGCCAGAAAAAAGCGGCTATTGAGCCAAACATCAAAAATTACTGAGCCAGCCTTACTGCATTAATACCATTATTATTATTATTATTATTATTATTATTATTATTATTATTATTATTATTATTATTATTATTATTA